TGATATATGTTCATATATTTTAAAAAATGTTCTTATTGAATTTTATTACAGCTAATCAATGATGGAGAGTTTGGGAGGCAAAAGTGGTGGGGATATCCTTGCAAACTGTGAGGTCTGCATTAAATTCATCGAGGCTGGTAGTGCGGTTGCTGCAGCCACTGTCCGCAGGCTCAGGCTCTTGGTAGAACTCCGTGGAAGGACTACAGGAACATCAAAGGTAGGGAATTATTTTATTTTCATCTGATGAAATAGGTATATAACAGGCTGTAGTTTTAGCATTATTGAGTTAAAGAGTTAAGGATTGAAGGAGCCATATATATCACACTAACAAGGAGCACAGATATTAGGGATAATTGTAAAATGGGGCCATAAGAAAAAAGGATTTTTTAAAAGTCTCAAGATTTCAGATGTATCAGTGATAGTATAAATCAGTTAAATAGAGATAGGCAGTTCAAAAAATGGAGAGACTTTTACATAGGCTTTACTATTTATATATATCTGTTGTAGACATAGGAGGGATAAGGAGATTCCACTAAAATTGTCTTTGATTTTCAGGAGCTATTAGTGAGACTGACTGATGATAGTGACCCTTTTTTCCTGTTTACGTGCATTGTCTGTGAGGAGGACTATCATGGTCTGCGGCAAAGTCAGGGACTTCTGATTGACTTCAGCGCTTTCCCACATAAATTTGTTGAGCTTGTTAACACATGCATCAGAGAAAGTGGCAAAGACTCACCCAAGTAAGTAGTGATTAAGTATAGAATATGTTACAGGTTAACTATACATTATCCATTGCCTCATGTAAACTTGGGATACAAAACAAAGAAAAACCCAATTGTGAAATCTATGTAATGTTTTTGGAAAATTATGTATATCATTGAATGTGTTTGAAAGGAAAACAGCCACAGCAAAAAATTTAATATGAATCGTAACGTTTCTTACCGTGGCTGTTTTCCTTTCATCTTTGTATACACGTTACTGTGTTTGTATTTGTGTCAACTGTGTGTTTGTTTATGCCGAGGGATTGTGTTTCTACATTTTATCTGTATATGTGGATATTAGGCTACAAAACAATTTTTCGCTATTGAAGGAAGTAATACCAAAATTAGTGGTGATTCTATAATATTTGAATTGTCATTTTGATATGTTATGATGAGTTTTATATATGTAGTTAGGTATTTACTTTTATTTGCATGGGATTTCCAATTATTAGATAGAATTTCAAACTGTTATATTAGAAAGAAGAATCAAGAGGATGATTTTTATACTGTATGGATTTTGATCTTGAGTGGTGTTGTAATGAAATAGTGTACATATTCATAGTTGATTTTCCAACACCCTTGGTTCCAAGTAGGTAAATTTTTCCCATTTAGTTAGACCAACAGAAGTCACATAATAATGATTTAATTACAGTACTCTGGTTCCTTAATTGTGCACCTCCCATATTTCCAAGTTGATGGAGCTGCAACAGCCATTGCAGTGTAAACCAGATGCTGTTTTTAATTTTAAATAAAGATTCTTTTACAGCCTTTACACCCACCACTACAGAAAATGGTGTTTGTTTGGGATGTCTTTTTATGTATCTTTAGTTTGAGTCATCTACTTGAAAAGTTTCACATAATGTATGAATAAACGTGTAGCTGTTGCTTGGAAGAATGCATGCTTGCTCAGATAGGAAAGGATTAATACACCTGAATTTCGTAGATCCCGTGTCTCACTTTGATCCTGTTACTGTCCCACAGATTTGTACTTGCTCTCCGTTGCTCTGATAGCGGGGGAGACAATGCAGCGTTGGAGGTTGTGGAGGTGAACATTTTCAAACACCTGTGTCACCTGTCTCTCACTCTCACTCCGGCCTCAACACAGCTGAAACTCAGTCATCTAGCTGAGTGTTGTAAAGCTCTTAAGGTAGTTACTGGTGTCTTATTTGGGTTTATCTATTATTGTATTTCTATTATTGTCATTCTATTTCTATTATTGTCATTTTTTTCATAATGTGGGATAGTGAAATATTACATTTTATTTTGAAATTCATATTTACAGGCAGAAGTTAAAGCCAAAGAGAGAGAAGCAGAAGAAAATGCAAAGCAGTTAGAAAGCCAACTAAGAAATACGCAAGATATCTTGGCCAAGACCTCAAGAGAAGCCCAGGAACTAAGGTCTGAACTAAATCACCAAATTGCCTTATCCTCAGAGAAGCAAGCGCAGCTCATTAACCAGGAGAAAGACAAGCTTCTGAAGGTCAGTATATTTATTTTTACCTTTTTTTTTTTTTTTGTCTGGAAAGGAAATTTGGTTGATTTTTGTTTCTTTTTTGTTTCTTTGTTTCTATTCTTGTCTTCCTTGTTTATGGAATTCAAAGGTACTGATTGGATAGGAATAATCTAGATAATTAGTTGGTATTATCTTAGAAAATGTCTGTCTAATGGTATCAAGTAAATTAAAAGATTAATCAATTCTAAGATACTTTTTTGATGTGTTATTTCTGCGGCAGATTTAAAAGGAAAAGGTTTTGTGAGATAAAGATGATAATCAGTCATATGTTGTATTACTAAATCAGAATATCTGATTCTGCTCTGTTAAGAAATTCTCATAAAAATCCCTTGATCATTTAAATTCATCTGTAATAAAGATGCTAGGGACCGCAAGTGAAATTTTGTTTCAAGAAAATATTATACTGTCAAGGAAAGAAAACAGTCGATAGTACATTTACTTGGTAGTGGGGAGTTAAAGCCATTTGAGATAGTTGATATGTTTCTGCTTTATAGTGATTTGTAATCTTTGCTGTTCATTTAAGTTTTAGAAGTTCATACTGTCTATTTAATTTTTGGAAGTTCATACTGTTCATTAATTTTTTTGCTTTTTGACCTTTGTTATGTCATAATGAGGTCAGGTCTTAGCTAAAATACAAAGAAAGCTTAAAGTATTTGTTGTGAGTTGTGTGTGAAGTTTAGAATGTTTGAAAGTTAAATTAGATACAAGGTTGCGAAACTGATGTGTTTGTTGTTAAATAAAGTAATTGGAAATAATGAATGTTCTTTAGTCATTCAAGTTGATATATGTTCATGTATTTTTAAAATTATTCTTATTGAATTTTATTACAGCTAATCAATAATGGAGAGCTTGGGAGGCAAAAGTGGTGGGGATATCCTTGCAAACTGTGAGGTCTGCATTAAATTCATCGAGGCTGGTTGTGCGGTTGCTGCAGCCACTGTCCGCAGGCTCAGGCTCTTGGTAGAACTCCGTGGAAGGACTACAGGAACATCAAAGGTAGGGAATTATTTTATTTTCATCTAATGAAATAGGTATATAACAGGCTGTAGTTTTATTATTGAGTTAAAGAGTTAAGGATTGAAGGAGCCATATATATCACACTAACAAGGAGCACAGATATCAAGGATAATTGTAAGATGGGGCCATAAGAAAAAAGGGTTTTTTAAAAGTCTCAAGATTTCAGATGTATCAGTGATAATATAAATCAGTTGAATAGAGATAGGCAGCTCAAAAAATGAAGAGACTTTTACATAGATTTTACAATTTATATATATCTGTTGTAGACATAGGAGGGATAAGGAGATTCCACTAAAATTGTCTTTGATTTTCAGGAGCTATTAGTGAGACTGACTGATGATAGTGACCCTTTTTTCCTGTTTACGTGCATTGTCTGTGAGGAGGACTATCATGGTCTGCGGCAAAGTCAGGGACTTCTGATTGACTTCAGCGCTTTCCCACATAAATTTGTTGAGCTTGTTAACACATGCATCAGAGAAAGTGGCAAAGACTCACCCAAGTAAGTAGTGATTAAGTATAGATTATGTTACAGGTTAACTATATATTATCCATTACCTCATGTAAACTTGGGATACAAAACAAATAAAAACCCAATTGTGAAATCTGGGTAATGTTTTTGGAAAATTATGTGTATCATTGAATGTGTTTGAAAGGAAAACAGCCACAGTAAGAAATGAATATGAATTGTAATGTTTCTTACTGTGACTTTTTTCCTTTCATCTTTGTATACACGTTACTGTGTTTGTGTTTGTGTCAACTGAGTGTTTGTTTATGGAGAGGGATTCTGTTTCTACATTTTATCTGTATATATGGATATTAGGCTACAAAACAATTTTTCATTATTGAAAGAAGTATTACCAAAATTAATGGTGATTCTATAATATTTGAATTGTCAATTTGATATGTTATGATGAGTTTTATACATGTAGTAATTAGGTATTTACTTTTATTTGCATGGGATTTCCAATTATTAGATAGAATTTCAAACTGTTATATTAGAAAGAAGAAACAAGAGGATGATTTTTATACTGTATGGATTTTGATCTTGAGTGGTGTTGTAATGAAATAGTGTACATATTCATAGTTGATTTTCCAACACCCTTGGTTCCAAGAAGGTAAATTTTTCCCATTTAGTTGGACCAACAGAAGTCACATAATAATGATTTAATTACAGTACTCTGGTTCCTTAATTGTGCACCTCCCATATTTCCAAGTTGATGGAGCTGCAACAGCCATTGCAGTGTAAACCAGATGCTGTTTTTAATTTTAAATAAAGATTCTTTTACAGCCTTTACACCCACCACTACAGAAAATGGTGTTTGTTTGGGATGTCTTTTTATGTATCTTTAGTTTGAGTCATCTACTTGAAAAGTTTCACATAATGTATGAATAAACGTGTAGCTGTTGCTTGGAAGAATGCATGCTTGCTCAGATAGGAAAGGATTAATACACCTGAATTTCGTAGATCCCGTGTCTCACTTTGATCCTGTTACTGTCCCACAGATTTGTACTTGCTCTCCGTTGCTCCGATAGCGGGGGAGACAATGCAGCGTTGGAGGTTGTGGAGGTGAACATTTTCAAACACCTGTGTCACCTGTCTCTCACTCTCACTCCGGCCTCAACACAGCTGAAACTCAGTCATCTAGCTGAGTGTTGTAAAGCTCTTAAGGTAGTTACTGGTGTCTTTTGGGGACTTATTTGGGTTTATCTATTATTCTATTTCTATTATTGTCATTTTTTTCATAATGTGGGATAGTGAAATATTACATTTTATTTTGAAATTCATATTTACAGGCAGAAGTTAAAGCCAAAGAGAGAGAAGCAGAAGAAAATGCAAAGCAGTTAGAAAGCCAACTAAGAAATACGCAAGATATCCTGGCCAAGACCTCAAGAGAAGCCCAGGAACTAAGGTCTGAACTAAATCACCAAATTGCCTTATCCTCGGAGAAGCAAGCGCAGCTCATTAACCAGGAGAAAGACAAGCTTCTGAAGGTCAGTATATTTATTTTTACCAGTTTACAGTTTGCTTATTTATTTATTTATTTATTTATTTTTGTCTGGATTAATATCACGGGACAATGATACATTTGATTGAACAAAATTTACAGGATATATCACAGGAAAGATAACATTATATTGACTCAAAAAAAAAATCTCCAAAAAATAATTTTTTTTCCAGGTACAGAGTGATGCGGACAGGAGAGCTGACCGTGAGAGACGCGACCTGGAGGCGAAGATGAGTCACCGAATAGACCAGCTCCAGGCCAAGGTCTCCTCACTCACGGCGCAAAATAGTGAACTCTTGGAAAAGAAGCAGAGAGCAGAAGGCAGTGTAAAGTGAGTATGAGAGTTTAGAATATCGATAGTATATTTGCTTATATTTGTGTAGTGATATTATAAAAAAGAAGAAGAAATAAGTGGTATGAAACAGGAGTACATTGCTATTCTGTAAACTTGGGTCACATGACTCAGACTTGTCCCTGGTATTGCATCCACCTCCTGCTATTCTCTCTCCTTTTCTGGTTACATTCCTAGGATGGGTGAGTCTAGGCTGGCATCGGAAAGATTTTATAAGATGACAGTAATCCATAGATTCTCAATGCACATGGAAAAATTACTAAGATCTAGGCAGAGATCTTTCAGTCTACCATACTTAATTCCAGCATCAGATAAAGCTAGTGTAACCCTGGCTCCAGGGATATCACTAACCAAAGTACTAACTTGTTGATGAAAGGTAGATTGATATGCAGTGACCCTGATATGAAGTTATTCTTTACTGGCATTTCTCAAGATTAATTTCCTACCTTGCATCTTCCAGGGAACTCCGTGGTCGTCTGTCGAGTGCAGAGGGAAATCTGGAACGCTGCCGGCAAGAACTGGGCCACACCAAGAAGATAAATGCTCATCTTGACAAAGATTACCATTCAAAATCATCCGCCGGTTTGTCTACTTATCTTGTTTTCAATTTTTTTTTCAATGCTTCGATGTGTATGTTAAAAATCAAGAGGAATTATTTCTCAGGTTATTTATCATGATTTAAAGAGTGTTGTTACTGATTTTGAGTGTTGATTTGTCTGCTAGTAATGCTACCAGAAAGGATCTGAAATATATGTAGATAGGGAAAAACACACATACACACTTAAGAATACCCTTTATCACAGTGCGAGAGTTAGAATCAAGAGTCTCTCAGCTTGAGGGTGAACTTCGGAGTAAAGACACCAGCCTTGGGCACGCTCAGGAAATGCTAGAATCTCTACAGCAGCAAAAGGTGAGTCTGAGGTGGTATTTGTATTGTGATTAATGTCATCCTGAATGCACATGATAGCCAAGTACTTATCTAACTAAAAAGTGTGTAAATGTTCTCCCTGAGAAGTATTTGAATCTATTTATCACTGAGAGAGAAATGTAAAGCAATTTGAAATAAGTGTAATTTTTGTTGAGGCAAAATCTTGAATATATGCTAATGAACATTGGTATTTTTAACTTCCAAGTGAGATATAAGACTTGCAATTTCTTTTAGCGGAGTTTAGAGGAAACGGTTGAGGAAAAACAGCAAAAGCTAGCCAAGCGGGAAAATTCGATCCAGATGCTGTATGCGGAACTGCAAAAAAGCCTGGATGTCATTAAGAAACTTCAGAAGAAGATCAAAGAGGAACACATGACGGTAAGGATAGCAGTCTTTTTTTTTCTTTTCTCTTCTTTTCTCTTTCTTTCTTTCTCTTCTCTTTCTTTTCTTTTCTTTTCTTTTCTTCTCTTCTCTTCTCTTCTCTTCTCTTCTCTTCTCTTCTCTTTTCTTTTCTTTTCTTTTCTTTTCTTTTCTTTTCTTTTCTTTTCTTTTCTTTTCTTTTCTTTTCTTTTCTTTTCTTTTCTTTTCTTTTCTTCTCTTCTCTTCTCTTCTCTTCTTCTTCTTCTTCTTCTTCATCTTCTTCATTGTTGTTATAATACATAGTGCATCTGCTCCCTCACTTCAACCCAGTGGCTGCAAATGTAATTTTAGCTTATTAATTGTGCTTACATAATGATGGATTTTAAAAGTGCTTAGACACCAAGGTGTCAGTTATTAGTCTTACCTATCTCACCTGTTTACCCTATTCCTTGATTTTTGTCAAGATTAAAAAAAAAATTATTACATTATTGCTATTATTATTTTGATACATTTATAATAATCATAATGTCAATAGTAATAATAACAGTATTGATATTAATGAC